GACACTAAGCTAAACATTTAGAGGCATGTTCCAAAACACCTTACTTTTCTTCAGTGGCCTAATATGAATCCATCATACCTGCAATTATGTTTGAGAATTATGTCTCAATATTATACCAGAGCTGTTTTCCATGCCATCTGTTATATAAATAGTAATTTACATATCATATTAATAGAGTAAATATGTAACTATTACATAGGTTGTACTGTGCATCCATATATAAGAATATAAGTAGTTTGGTTATACATTTCTTTACAAGTTAAACTTATAAGTTTCAAGAGTGTTCCTCATTCTAATAAAGGCTGGTAACAGCCTAATCACATCCTTCATGATTTCACAAAGTTCAGGTCTATTCCTTTCAGCCATTGTCTTTCTAGACTGAAGAAATCTCATCTTCCTATTGCATCCTTATATAAAAACAACTCTTTACTCTGCACCATTTCACTTTTCTTAATTTTGAATTATCTTACAGGCTCCAAACTGAAACAGCAAGGCATGTAGGTTTACAGGACTTAATTTTACAGAATTTTGAGTCAAGATGTAAGTTAGGAAAAGCAGCCTTCAAAAATATATTTGACAATCACTGTACCCCAAGACTTACAGGAAATCATAAGGTAGTCTTCACAGTTGCCTTTGTCATCATCTTGCTGGTCCACAGGGATCCCATTGGCATCTATGACTGCTTCAGAAGCACAGTCTGCTACCAATACTTCTGAAACTACATCAGTGGTCAGAGGATCGGTGACAATTTCTGCTTCTACTACACTATCATGAACCACATGCTCAACATGTCCAACATCAGACACATGTATAGATTCACTCGTCAAGACGTGCTCTGGCATAGACATTGAGGCTGAAGTAATGTCAGAAGCTAAAACATCATCTGGGACTGTGCAATGCGCTAAAGAAACTTCTTCGGTTACATCTGAGTCCAGCACTTGCTCAGGAATAATGACCGTTTCGGACACATCTGCTTCTTCCATGATATCTGGGCATTGAACATCTTCTATAACAACGTCCTCAATAACATCTTGGATTACAACTGAGTCTGGGTCATCAGGAACAAAGTTATGCACTGTTATGTCTGACTCCACAACATCTGAAACAAAAACAGTTTCTTGTACTTCCACAACAATTTGATCACCATCCATGTGTGTAGCATCAGCTCCTTAAAAAAAAAATAATAATAAATGACAAATTTCAGGTAGGCATGCATTACTATCTCAATTAACATAAATGTTATTTAATTCTACCACAAAAACAGATCAGCTCCTCAGTTTTCTCAAACATTAAAGAGATAAGAGGGAATCTATTTTTGAATCATATTAGAAAGACATTTTTAGCACAAGAACTTTTGTATTCATCCCAAATCAATTAATAGGTAATAGTAGTAGAGCAAAGCAATTGAGGCAGTCACAAAAGAAATATATACATGAAAGTAAAACTCTAGGCATACTAAAATTAAACCCATATACATAGGTACTTAAGGGATGATTATAAAAATTAAGTAATGAAACTTCAGGTGACAAATACATCATTTTCCTTCACTATATGTTTTTAATTTCTTTTCCTTCTTTCTCCATCTCCCTATCCTTAACTCATATTTTTTTTTTTCTTCTTTCCATCTCTCCCGTGTATTTCTTTTACTTCCCTTCCATTTTTTCCTTTCCCCCTTTACCTTCTTCCCACCTTGTTCTGGTGCAATATACCACCAATATCCTCTATCTATGACTGTGGAAAATTTAGAAATCATCCTCTGAATCTAGAACATAAAAGGTTCGGGGCATATATGGAAAGAGGGAGAAAAGGCCACAGGTTAAGGAGGAAAGACAACTGGTTGAGGAGGCTCTGTGGATAGGTGAGATGAATAAAAGTGCAGCTGTGCCGGGGCAGTGGAGGGTAAAAGTAGTTGGAGTGGAGCCTGCCCCAACTTTGCCAGGTTACTCTGCCTCCATCTAGCTTCCTCCCATCCCCTCAGACCACAATCCCCAAGGTAGTTCCTCAGAATACAGGAAATCCTACTCTACTCCATTCTGTAGTTAGGGAACAAAGGTAGAGGACTGAATCAATTGAAGCCCAGTGAGATTAAATGACTTAACCAAGATCACACAATTTGCATAGCGGTATGTGTTCAGTAAACATTATTCTGAATGAATGCTGCAAATGGGAATAGAAATTATATATCCTTACCAAAAATTTAAAATAAAAACAAATCCAGTATCTTGGCTCCTGGTCCAGAGAAAAGCAAAGAAAGTTTTCCAAAAGCCTTATCTAAAAAGCTATTCAATAGATTAGTGCTTTTCGTTGTGACTCAGACTTGGCTGAGCCCAAACAGGTGGCTAACTCAATGACAGAGTGTCAATGGTCAGGCCCTCAGAGAAACACATGGCTTTATTAACAAACAAAAATGATCAACGAACAAAGAATATTAAAAATTGTAGAAAGTCTTTAAAGCCGGTTAATATCCATTTTAATTACATCTATAAATAAAAGAATATGTTCACTTTAATTTCTATAGGACTTCTACAAAATGCTTTACATTTGTTTTAAATATTCTCAGTATTATCATCAAGTGATATATCACTATAATCTCCATTTTACAGACATGAAGATGAAAGCATTTAGTGGCAAGCACATTGGTTACAAAATCTAAGTCAGAGAGCAGGGCAGGACACTTATTAGTTTTGTGACCTTGGGCAAGTCATTTAACCTCTGAGTTTCAGTTTCCTCATCAGTAAAACGAGGGCAGTATTATCTGCCATGCATACCTCACAGGACTGTGATGATGATCAAATGGGAATGTATGGGAAGTGTTCTGAAAAACTGTAATGAGAGGTTTCATTATTATTATGACATATGAAAACAGAGGCCCTGGCAGATTAAGTGACTTGCTCAAAGATAAACAAATACCATAAGTGTTAACAATCAGGACTAAAATGTAACAGTCCTTCAGTCTACCACTAAGCCCATGACCCAGGCTTGCTTGTGGCAAGATTAAGGGAATAAATACTGTGCATTTTTCTCCAAAGAACTTAGTCTCTCAAGCACATTGCTCCAATGAAAAAAAAGAATTATTAACTTTGCATTTATCATTATCAAACTGAAATTACCAAACTTGAGTTAAAAGACTATCCCAAGTTGTTAAGAAAAACACACACACACACACCTTCCACTGAACTTAGGGATTAAAGAAAATTTTAAAAATTAAAAATCACTTATATTTAATTTCCTAATAAAGTTAATTGCTATTTTGTTAATATACTGCAGTATGATCACTTAAAGTCCAGTGGAAAACCTGTTAACATTTTATTTGTAAGGGTAGCTAGCTAGTGATATAAAACCACTTTACAGGGGCTGGCCCATGGCTCACTTGGGAGAGTGTGGTGCTAACACCAAGGTCATGGGTTCTGATCCCTATACAGGGACGGCCGGTTAGCTCACTTGGAAGAGCGTGGTGCTGACAACACCAAGTCAAGGGTTGAGATCCCCTTACCGGTCACCTTTTAAAAAATAAAACCATTTTACGTTATAAAACCAAGTAAAATCACTTTACAATGTTATATAATTAGAACTATGGGTAACCTGAAATTGTGAATGCTTTATTTTTCTATTTTTAGAACATCATGAATATAATTTTCCTTGTACACTTTGGGGAATGATGTAAAACTCCATGTTCCTGAGCTGAAGGCTCCTTTTGTGAGAACTTGTGAGAGAGAGGGTTGTAAAAGTAGGACAAGGTCAGACTGTGAAGGACCTTGGGTTTATACTTTATCTGTTGGGTAATGGAGAACAGAGAAATGACATGATACATATGTTATTTTTACTATAAATAACTCTGATCAGTGAGCTAGAAAAAACAGACTAACGGTAAGGAAAATAATACAAAAGTTATTGCAGAGTAAGAATGAGATGATAGAGCCTGGCTATATGGTACAAAGTAGAATGAAGAGTAGATGTAAACAAGGAACATTTTCAAAGGGAGAACCAACAGGACTTAGTGGAATAACTGGGCAAAATGAGAATAACTGAAGATAACACCAAAGTTTTCATATTGTTTCTGTTACTGATAAGAATATGAGAGTTGGTTGTGAGGGAGGCAAATTCTGAGGAAGGGAATAATGTGCTCACTTTAACATTTGTAGACTTTGATAGGATAACAAAATACCTACGTGTGAATATCAATGTGAGGGTCTACAAATTTGTCCATGTGATAACCAACTCCAAATTAGGTAGAAGGTAAGTAGAAAAACCCAAGCAGTAATACCTGTTGCATCAAAAAATGAGTGTGGCTCTTGTGGTTGTAATTCAAGTCCATCTTCATCCATGGCCTTTAATTCTCATCAGTCACAGCTCCTAAATCGGGGGGTGGGGGGGGGTGGGGGTAAGCCAAGCATTAATATTTTTTGTATCATGTATTAAAAATGTCATCATGGTATCTTCATTTCTGAGACACAAAATTTTTTTATGTGACAGATGAACATTTATCAAAAACGTATCTATCTAAAATAAAAAGGGTGCTGGCCAGTTAGCTCAGCTGATTAGAGCACGGTGTTGGTAACAACCAAGGTCAAGGTTTTGGATCCCCATACCAGCCAGCCACCAAGGAAAAAAAAAAAAAGAAACTTAATTGATTTTCAATAATATATGGGCATCCATATGACAAGGCAAGGAAGATAAATCAAATGAGTCAACTTTGCCTAGACTTCTTTTTCAATTGATGTATTGCTTACATAAGTGCACATATCTTGATGAATTTTGACACATACACAAACCTTTGTAATTACTATCCAGATAAGATATAGAACACTTCCAGGACTCCAGCACTCTTGTCTGCTCTAAGTCTGTACATCCCATGCTACTGTAATTGGTTTTGTTATGGTTCAACTTAAACACATTCTGTAGGTTATTAGGGGAAATTTCTGCACAATTTTCATATTACTTCTCTTAATGTAATGTAGTCTGCTATCTTTCAATCAATAAATTAAACAAGAGTAAAAATTCAAAGGGCATAATTGCAGTAAACACCCTTTGGGATTCTGCCTAACTTACAACGACTTCTCTTAACTAAGCCTTTGACCTAGAAGTGAATTCCCAGTGTATTTACACTCTCCTGGCTATAGGGGATTGGCAGTAGCTATAAAATGGTAAAACTAAGTACCTCTTTAAGCACAATAAAATCTAAGTCCTATCCCTGAGAATCTGAAACGATGAGCAAAAATCAATATCTCTCTCTTTCTTTCTGAGGACCGACTATAATTACTGCCTTGGGTTTTTGCAAGACATCCCAATGACTTTAATTCTCCCTTTTCTACTTAAGTCAAAAACAACAAAAAGAATCTTAACCAATAAAATAACATACTACTTGGGGCTGGCCCAGTGGCGCACTGCTACAGTGCGCCGCTTGGGAGCGTGGTGGCGCTCCCGCCGAGGGTTCGGATCCCACATACAGACCGCTTCCCGCTCACTGGCTGAGCGAGGTGCGGGCGCAGCACCGAGGTTTGCGATCCCGTTGCCGGTCCCGGTCCGGTACGGGCGCGACACTGAGGGTTGTGATCCGTTGCCGGACACGAAAAAAGACAAAAAGGGAAAAAAAAAAAATAACATACTACTTAATACTATTTCACTACCATTTCAAAAGAGTACACATAAGGGATTGCGGCTTATTCTTGTTGTTAGTATAGATGCTATTCAACATATGATGGGGTCATATCCCAATAAACCCATCATAATTTGAAAATATCGGGCTGGCCCGGTGGCGCACTGCTACACTGCGCCGCTTGGGAGCGCGGCGGCGCTCCCGCCGAGGGTTCGGATCCCACATACAGACCGGCCGCTCACTGGCTGAGCGAGGTGCGGGCGCGACACCGAGGGTTGCGATCCCGTTGCCGGTCCTGGTCCGGTATGGGCGCGACACAGAGGGTTGCGATCCGTTGCCGGTCACGAAAAAAGACAAAAAGGAAAAAAAATAATAATAATAATAATTTGAAAATATCGTTAAGTCCAAAATGCATTTAATACACCTAATCTACCGAACATCATAGTTTAGCCTAGCCTACCTTAAACGTGCTCAGAACACTTCCACTAGCCTATGGCTGGGCAAAATCATCTAACATAAAGCCTATTTTATAATTAAGTGTTTAATATTTCATGCAATGAAAATGAAAAACAGAATGGTTGCATGGGTATTTGAAGTACGGTTTCTGCTGAATGTGGATCACTTTTGCACCATTGTAAAGTCGAATCATCACAAAGTTAGAGATTGTCTGTATTGCATAAACCTCATTGGTTTCCCGCTCTTTACTTTCTCAATTTCTAATCCAACCTTAACAGTGCTGTTAGACACATCCATGCTTCACCTTTATCATTTTTTTGCTGATGATATAAGTACTGCATGCTTATTAAAATTTCAAAGAACAGAAATACAAGTCATTTCTCTAAAGTATCAGCTAAGGTGACATCATTACTCTGTTCAAAAATGTTTAATGGCTCCATACTACCTCCTAAAAAAGTTCAAACTCCAGTCATATTCTCATATTCTAAGTTCCAGCCCCAAATTACCTTTCCATCATTATCTCCCCTAACTTCCCTTCAAGCACCTCCCCCCACCACTGCACACATGCACGTGCACACACATTTCCACCAAACAAAAATGTCTAGCGTCCCCATAAGACCCCAACTCTGTATTTGGCTCCAGGTTCCTTTTACCTGGAATACCTTTCCCCTATCACCCCTACTTTGATCTTGCCCCTAAATCCCCTTCCCCACACAAAAAGAAAAAGCTGGAAATAATTTCTCCTGCATCTGAATTTCCACACTTTAACCTTCTACTCTTACTGTACTTGTTTGCGATATATCAGGGTTATTTATATGTCTTATTTTCAGATATAGGTTGAATAGCCCTTATCAGAAATGCTTGGGACCCCATACCAGCCAGCTACCAAAAAAAAACAAAAAAAAACTAATGAGAGAAATGCTTGGGACCAAAATGTTTCAGATTTCAGATTTTTTTCAGATTTTGGAATATGTGCAGAATACATACCAGTTGAGCATTCCCAAATCCAAAAATCCAAAATCTAAAATGCTCCAATGAGCATTTCCATTGAGTGTCATGTCAGCATGCAAAAAGTCGCAGATTTTGGATTTTCAGCTTTGGGATGTTCAATCTGTATTACATAATGTATATAAAGTCCTTAAAGAAATATCTGTGAAAAACTCAATTAAAATTTATATAATAGATAAATGGATTTTCAACATGTCATCTCTGAGACATGTTCTATTCATTTTCCTGAAATAGCACATTTCATGTTACTTATTCAAATTGCTTTAAATTAAAGCAAATGATGGCCAGATTAATAAACAAGAAAATTTTCAACCATGAATTGAAGGTACACATGCTCTAAATAAGTTGTCACTGCCCTCTCCCCGCCAATATAAATTTCCTATATAATTTCCCCCCTTTAGAAATGTAATTTTTTTAATGTAATTATAATATTATAAATGTAAATTAATCTTCTAAGCACAATGAAATACTACTACAGGAAATTAAGCCAATTAAGGCAATAAAAGGGATTCATTAAGGTATTTAAGCCCCCCATCCCTCAAATTTCCCTACATAAACCCAATCACATCAGCTTTAAGAATCCCCAACCTGCAGAAAAACTTCCTTTTCTTGGCACTCATCCATCCTCCTTGGCTTTTCTCTTAGCGTTTGACATAATTTGCTACCCTCAGTTTTGAAGTTCTTGCCTTCTTCTGTTTCCTTAAGTGACATCCTAGTTCTCTTCCCACCTTCTTAACCACTGGCTACTACTCTGCTTCCCCTCATCCTTTACTATAGCCTTGCCCAGAGATGGGAACTCAGCTCTTCTCTTCTCCCTTTCTCTTCATTCCCATGGTTTCAACCACCATTTGCACAAAGATGATTCCCAAAATCCACATACTCAGGGTAGGACCTAATACTTCCACCAGACTGTCTGCTGAGTATTTTCATCTGGATAAAAACCAGTTTTCTCCTGACACGACCACTATGGCCTTTTCCTTCTTCCCTGCTTACATTCAGTCAGGTTGCCAGATCCTGTCAATTATTTCTCCTCAACTTCTCAGGCATCTGGTCCCTTCCTTATTATTCCCAGTCACCATTCCCTCTCAGCTTCATATTTCCTGATCCCTGGGGGATGAAAATAACCTCTTGACTGCCCTTCCTTCTTTCTGCCGCTCCCATAACAAATGACTAAAAACTCTATACAAGTAAGGGTTGGTGCCAGTTACTGAGGCATTCCTGCAATCTGTGGGCAGATTAGTCCTCCTGAAGCACTGCTTTGATCAAGGCACTCCCCTGCTCAGAACACTTCATCAGTTCCCCAATACTCAGAGGGCTCTACAATATTAACCCAAGCTACCATACAGACTTGTTTGCTGTTATTCCCATCCTTTTACATCATATGCATTTCCTACCAGATATTCTAGCCTACATGGAGAGTGCCCACTCACCAAATCTCAACTTAGATAAGCAGTAACTTCAACAAACAATTGTTTTGACTTGTTATATTCCCTTTTGTTTTGTCATTATGAAAATTCAAAAAGGGAAAAAACCTCTTGTACTTCCAAGCAGAGACGACTATACCTCAACTCTGTAACCCCTCTGGGGTTAGAACTGCTAATTCACTGTGACAATCAGAATGAAACCACGTTCTTAGAATGGCACCTACTCAAAGTGAGAGTTTTCAGGATTGTGACAAAGTAAGGGTAGAAGAACATGTGCTGACAATGTAACTGAAAGTGGCCATGACTACGCAGCAGGAACCAAGCCCAGAGACCAGTTGAACCTAAAGACGACAACAGAATGGTTCAGAGAACCAAGAATCTAAGAATTTGGGTGAACAAGTACTAACATTTAGTCTGATTATCAAAAGCCCTCAAGGGCCGGCCCGGTGGCGCACTGCGCTCGTGCGCCGCTTGGGAAGCGCGGCAGCGCTCCTGCCAAGGGTTCGGATCCCACATACAGACCGGTTCCCGCTCACT